AAGGAAATGGTTGTATTTTACTATTTTCAATACATTTAACATAATGATCACGTAAAGATCTCTGATCATAAAACAGTAAAGATGAAACATCCCTATAACAAAGAGAAGTAGCAAAAGCCCATGTAAATAATCCACAAGCGTTATCACCAATTTGCTGTTGAACATTTTCAAATGAAACCAAAAGTTTTTCTTCATCAGGTAAGAAGTCCTTGAGAAACTTAATTATTGATTCTTTTGGATAACTTACAAATCATAAACTTTCCAAATATTATTACAGTTCACATTTGAAATTGTTAGCCAGTGATTATTATTTGCATTAAAAATAAAAATAGAGTTCTCCAATGAATGTTCGTATAATTTAATTTGTGCAAGATCCAAGGGGGAAAGCACGGAATCCTGGAATCCTGGAATCCAAAGGAATCCAACGGAATCCAATGGAATCCAACGGAATCCAATGGAATCCAACGGAATCCAATGGAATCCAACGGAATCCAATGGAATCGGGTGGAATCTGGTGGACTCCGATGGAATCCGGGATTCTACACTTCTCCCGAAACAGAACAAAAGCGTTCTATATTTTGGGAAACTTTTCCCAAAAACAGAACAAAATGTTCTGTTTCGGGGGCAGTTGCAGAGAATCCAAGGGAATCTTATGGATTCCAAGAGAATCCTATGGAATCGTACAGAATCCGAAGGAATCCTGGAGAATCCTGGAGAATCCGAAGGAATCCTGGAGAATCCGAAGTAATCCTGGAGATTCCGAAGTAATCCTGGAGATTCCGAAGGAATCCTGAGGAATCCTTGGAATCCAGGAGAATTCAGGATTCTAGGATTCTGTGCTTTCCCCCTTGGCAAGATCACACAAACCATTAATATTTGGAAATTGTTTATGTAATAATTCAAAAAATAAATATATATGAAAATCAGTTAACCATGTCGTATTATCATGAACATCGCGAATCGAATTTATATTTTTATTACGTTTATAATTATATCTTTCTAGATGGGAGTTCTTTTTTTATTTATTATATCTTGATTGCTTTTATTATCTTTTTGCTGATAAGTCACCAATGATGCCTTGTCACATAGTCTACCTGGAGGATTAACTACTGGCGAATAACCGAAAACCATTTTTTCTTTGAATAGTATATGCATTTGTTCTTCTTTTGCTCCTGTTTCTGATTCTAGTTCTAATCTTGGTACTTCTTCTTTATAACTTTGTCTATCTAATTGAAATGACACTTTATGGAGATTGAGAGGAATACAGATGTAATCATTGAAATGAAAATTTCAAAAAAGATCAACCACATCTTTTTCTTTCTATTAATATTTTCTTCACCAGTTATTAATCTATTCAGCAATAATTTCTTATTGAAAGTCTATCAAAGGATTTTCAACGTCTGAGGAGTAGGAGAAAATCATTCTTGGACGTATAATAATTTATTTCGTAGACAACGAAATACTCTTGAAAACAATCATCAAATTTTTAGTGAACCCGAATCTTTGTTTTAGGATTGTACTCAAATTTCTGGAGAAAACTATGCAGAAAACCCAATGGAGAAAAAGCGGACTCCAGGAGTCCACAGAATCCATGGGAGTAGACAGTAGTTCAAGCTCTCGAAAGACTGTTGTCTAATATTTGGATTGCGCTAATTCTGGTTTGTACCATAAAAATAAAAGCTAAGAATATAGAGCACACTATTTATTTCTACACAAAAACAGAAAATACAGAATCAATAAAGACTAAAACCAGATGAATTGTTGGTATTTTTCTTTGCTTGTTTTAATTACTCCCAAGCATCAAAAAAAGATCTAGTATCGCCCGATTCATCTAGATTACTAGATTTTTACTCGATTGCAACTACTGTGTAATGACAGTGGAAATCTAGTAATTGGGCGATTACTAGATTTTTTCTAGTTGCAACTATCGATTTATCGCTCGATAATCGCTCGATTTAACTATTGCTAGTTGCACATGCAGACGCATCTAGTTAAAAGTCCCTTTTCCAACTAGTAATCTAGATGGCAACTAGTCGTGTATCGCCCGATTATAGACGAAATGTATCTAGATTTTTTCCATAAGTGATGTTTGCCTGGGTTCGTATCATTGTCTATCGCGTGGCTATGGCAGGACCGAGACTGGGACTAAAAAAGATTTTTCCCACGACCGGGATTGGAACCAAGAATATTTTTTGACAATTTCGTAAAAGCAGCTAAAATTTTACCTTTTTTCCATATTTAAATAAAAATATTTTAGAAACTTTCCGGGATCGAGACTAGAAAACCACCCATTGGTTCCGCCCATATCTAGTATCATGTCATCAGTAATTCTTTCAAGTTTCTCTCTCTTTCTCTATTCATCGTATATAAATATCTTGCACATTTCGAATTCAGAAAATTCCATTCATCTCGCTAACACATGCCAAGTACTTTCTTTTCTTGCACTCAATTTTTTTAAAATAAAGTTTTTCAGAAGATATCAGAAAATTTGTGTCGAAATATCATCAAATTCTGTTGCGCTTATCTATTTTGTTAAATTAGTATTCGTAGTTTTTTAGTAGCGTTCCTCCTTTCAAGGTTTTGCAATTCCTCCTTAATTCCTCGTTTTTAGAAAAACCTCAGTACGAAGCCGTGATAAAGTGTTTAACAGACTTCATTTAATCATTGATGAAATATATGACACATTAAACAAAATTCAACGTTAAAAATATGCTACTAATTCATTGATTGAATATATTGATGCTTCAGATCCTAGATATATTTTATACCATATTTGAGACTATCGCTGGAGCAGGATTTCAGAGTGAGGACGTCTTTTCGAAAAGTAGACCTCACTGATAAATCTACTATGAAGAAACAAAAAGTATTATGAATTTATTTCTTGCGTCATATGAACAAGCGTGAAAGTCAATTTTATTTGATCATAATTAAAGCGATGTTAAGAACCTCAAACTAAAAATTTCTTTGAAACATTACAGAGTAACAACTAAATTTGAATTTAATCAAATTGCGGAGCTTTACGTATTTCCTATGCATCAATGTGTGAAAGTATTGGATTTATTTTTACTATTTACAATATTTTCTCTTATCATAGAAAATGTTTCTCTTGTTGTGCCTAAGTGTGGACAAGTATTATCGATTGGTACAAGTGTATACGTTAACATTCTTGATTTACTTTCATGTAAAATCGATTGTAGAACAATATCTCTTTCATAGTATACTTCTGACCAAAAAGTGTTATAAGCTATTAAATTATAAATATGAACTCTTTTATGAAGTTCTAATTATCTATTATTGTATATTTAATATCTTCATCCATTTCATTCTTACTTTTGTTTGTAACCATGATATTATTAATTGTCCGATAAATGATAGAAAATAGATACTAATGATTGTATAAGTTCTTGCACCAAATGTCATAGGAGGATTTGTTCTATAGCCAATTCCACATAATGTTTCATGTGCATTTAAAGTTGTCAGAAATGTTGATGTATACTGCCAGCTTCCTTCAAATATGGCAACAGCATACAAAATTGTACCAGATAGTGTGAACAACCATATCATTGCAATAGTTGTTAAGAAAAATGATTTTACGGCGAGAGCAATGGCATATAAACACCATTGAATATCAATTAAACGAAATCCAAATTGAGCTAAACGTAATGAACGACATAAATGAATAATAGACCATAAGATATTTTGACGATAGATTGTTGTAATTGGACGTTGATCGACGAAGTATATAAATGTACCTAAACGATGTCATCAATGTTAAATATAAGTAATTCATTTTCACAAGTGATAGAATCTTTATATAAATATGAGCGTAGTATTTTTTATTACCGCACCTAAACATGATAGAATATCAGCAGCTAAACATGGATTCTTTAATAACAGTCTCCAATGTTTACAATTTTTCCATTGTATATACAATTCTATTGCTGTCAGACAAAACAGTCCGCTGTCAATAATATAAATGAAAACAATGATGAAGTTGGAATATGAGACTACTTTCAAATTATACCACAATATAATTTGACGATATAGATCAAGAGAGAGACCCCAGATTTCCAGTAGAAATAAAATAGCTAATAGTACTCTAATTAATTTCAAATAATTTTCTTTTATACTTAAAATTGTTAGACAATATCGTTCTGGATAACTAATGGAATCAATGGGTTCAATTCGATTACAATTTGTTAGTAATGATACAGAAGCTCCACATTGTATTAAACCATCATTTAGTTCATTTTGTGTAATTTCATCTGGACGAATTAAATAACTTGTTTGTAAATATAACAAATATGAATTAAATATTCGAGGATCAACGTTATTCAATGTAAATGTGTGCGATTTTTCTTCAGATTGTTTTTGATTAACTGGTATGAAACGTGTTGTTATCGATGAACGTTCAATTAATGTTTTATATAGTGAACAAGATAGTTCAAAATCTTCATCACGTACAATAATTCGAACTGTTTCTAAATTTGAATCACAAACATTGCCATAACTACCACTCATGTGACAAATTGGAATGAACTGCTCTTATTGTAGCGACGTACACATTCTGTAGTCGAATAAATCAAAATGCGAGTTTAGACGCGAGAGGATGTGTGCTATTTGTTTTTGGTAAAGTTCGTCTCCTTGACAATCCCCATTGTTTTCATACTGAGAATATTAAATAATGTTAGTTTGTTTTTTATTCTAAAATATAAATTTTGATAAATAAGTTATTTCAATATCTTTATTATTGTAGTACTAGTGGTAGAAATATCGTATTTCGTTGATTAATTGATCAAACACAACTAATAAAATCACGAGTTCTCGAATGAAAACTCATTCTTTCTTTTTCTCTTTTTTCAAATGACCGTCTTTTTCTCACCTCGTTTATGACCTATAATTGCACGTGTGATGTAGTCCTGCACACCAGAAGTGGGGTGACACGACAGTTGAGCCTATGACATTTGAGCCCCGACAAATGAGCCTCGACAGATGAGCCTACCAACACTTGAGCTCTTGACATTTCAGCCCCCGATATTTAAGCCTCCCGATACGTGAGCCTTTGACATTTGAGCCTGTCGCAGATATACATTATATGACTTTTATTTTTTTAATTAAAAAAATTAAACAAAGCTCTTGCTCTTTTAAAATACTCCTTTCTTGTGTTTATGTTAAAAATGGTAATTAACTGTTGTAGTTGTTCGTCCATTTGTTCATATTTGTTTAATAACATTTTCGACAGCTTTCTCAAAGTCAGCTGTAATTGATTTTGGATGTCTGTTGACATTTTGTACCAAAACGTTAAATAGTTCACCATAAGCGGCTTCAGATTTACCAGGAAGAAGAGCATACACCAGTGGTAATAAAATTTTAATCAATCAATTAATTAGCGTGAATATAACATTTTAATCAATCAATCAGTCAATTAGCCTGTTCCTTAATAGTATCGAACTCAGTCATACAATACCTATCTACGACAGGCTCAAATGTCGAAGGCTCACGTATCGGGAGGCTTAAATATCGGGGGCTGAAATGTCAAGAGCTCAAGTGTCGGTAGGCTCATCTGTCGAGGCTCATTTGTCGGGGCTCAAACGTCAGAGGCTCATCTGTCGGTGTATCCAGAAGTGGGCGATGGACGAAGATCATCGCGACGCGATCTCCGCGAGGAAGATTTTTTGAAAGCTTGACGAGATACGGGATGATGATGAGGCAAGAAATGCACGAGGCAGACCCCACGGAGGACATTTTTTCTTGTTAGCGAAAGATGAAATGGAGACGTTGGACAGAATTCTTTTAATTCACCTGAAAAATATATTTGTTTAGTAGATCTCATCTACCGCGCAGACAGCGTTTCCTCAAGTGGAAGTTGAACTGAACTGAACTGAAATTTATTTTACACAAAGGCAGGATATCATAAAAAAGTTCTGTGTAAGATAATTAATCGTCACATGATATCCTTCATAGTGAATATATCAAGGGGGGAAAAGCGGACTCTGTGACTCCATGGGACTTCATGGGACTCTCGGACGTCGTGAAGTCCAGAAATCTGTATCAAGCTTTTGATCCCGATATGATACAGAAAAAAGGCTTCGTGTTAAGCCTCCCCCCCGTCAGAAACCTATCTCCGAAAGTATATGTCTGATCTTGACCAAACTCTTGACCAAAAGTGTCTTTCTAGCTTTGGTGAAAACCAGAAACGTTTTTCGCTAAACGCGTTTGGTTTAGGGAAACATCGTTTTTGGTTTTTCAAGTAGCGAAGGATTTTCCAGTTTGTGCGAAAGATCAAAAGGGTCTTTTAAAAAGAGTTAATCGAACACTTTATATTTCGAAAAACAACAAACAATTTATCTTAACGTCGGTGAACTCTTATGTAGCGATTTCCATATAAAGAAAGTGTGAAAAAGAAAAACTTTTGACATTCCAACATTTTCTTCATGCACATATAATATTATTATGAAAATTTATTTTATTGTTTTATCTCTTGTTTTAATTTGTTAAGCTGTATCTTACTCTTTTGTTTATAATCTCTTTTTGTCTGAGATGTCAGCTTATTTACTACTTACAAACACTCTTTTTTAA